TGGGGGGGGGGGGGGTTCTCAGTGGTGTCTGTGGTGCTGCAGTTGGGCTCAGTGCTGTTGGGCACCGAAGACACGAGCTCAATTCCCGATCTGGGAAGGTCGATTTCCTAGTATACGAATTTGTCTTCCAGGATGTTGCATTCCCAATCAGGGTTGAAGCAGTCCGCCCCCTGAACTATTTAAAGTCTGTCAGTGGGGTCGTTGTAAACCAGTGCTTGTCAACCCTCTTACAGTTAGCACCCAACTGTGTCACATTTATCAGGCTAAAATGTTCATACAACCAACCTACATGTATATGTATTTCAAGCGGGTCAATCAATAATACCCATCATGGGGGCTCTCCTGGCCTAGAGGTTAAGGTGTCGGCCTTTCATTCAAAGGTCCCGGGTTCGAATCCGAGTAGTGACCGAAAAATTTTCTTCTCTAAAATTGTCTCCCTTCACCTCCTTTCCTGCTCTCTAGCAATGTTCAGTTGTCTGCTTTCATTTCCACTTTCTGCCCTCACCCCATCACCTCCTTTGCCCCCTCCTCTGGGCTTCTGACTCTTTCTGCAGCCTTTCTACTGCTACTCCTTGGCTCCTCCTTACTGCTGTCTTTCTGCCACACCCCTGATCTTGTCGTAGGAAAGATCTACACCTAGCCTTCTCGGACAAGGGCGAAAAATCTCGGAGGGCTCGTGTGCAAGTTGCGCACGTTAAAGATCCCTTGGTGGTCTTAAAATCGATAAGAGTAGGCTTCGTACACTTTACCAAAAAAAATTAAAAAAATTGAATACCCATCATTACATGGATGATCCAGAGCGCCCACCAAAAAGTACCAAACCACTCACAAACGGGCGAAATTTCTCAGGTCGTCAAGCACTGCTATGAACATACACATAACAAGCTCTGTATCTTTTGTCCTCCAGGTGGTTGTGATGTACTCGTCCACCTACCTGCTGGTGGCGCTAAGTCTTGACCGCTTGGACGCTGTGGCCAGACCGCTGCAGTTCACCTCAGCCTGTGAGTACTTGGTGGTGGTTACATTTACTGGTGGTTCTATAGTGAGTACTTGGTAGAGGTTCTATTGTGAGTACTTGGTAGTGGTTGTATCGTGAGTACTTGGTAGTGGTTGTATTGTGAGTACTTGGTAGTGGTTGTATTGTGAGTATTTGGTGCTGGTTATATATATATCTATCTATCTATCTATCTATCTATCTATCTATCTATCTATCTATATATATTTCGTGGTTCTTATATCGTGAGCACTTGGTGGTGGTTCTATTGTGGCGTCGGTGGCCTAGTGGTTAGGCTCTCGGACTCGCAACCGTAAGGTCGTGGGTTCGAATCCCGTCAGGGGCCCGACGTTGTGTCCTTGGGAAAGGCACTTTACACGAATTTTCCTCACTTCACCCAGGTGGGAATGGGTACCCGGCTATAGACAGCGAAAGATCTTGTCAGTTTGTTAGTGTTTGAGCGCTTAATCGGCTGCTTGCACTGTATGCTTCTCGGGAAGCTGAGAATGTTTCGGAGTGTTCTATGGTCTGCTGGGGTAATAATATAGTGTAAAGCGCATAGAGCCTGCTGTTGAGCGGGGATATGCGCTATACAAATGCTATCTATTATTATTATTATTTCTTGGTGGTTCTATTATGAGTACTTGGTGGTGGTTCTATCATGAGTACTTGGTGGTGGTTACATCGTGAGTACTTGGTGGAATACCTGGTGGTTGTTGTAATGTTATTGTTTTCTTGGTGGCGGTTAAATCGCGAGTACCTGGTGGTTGTTCTAATGTGAGTACTTGGTGGTTGTTCTAATGTGAGTACTTGGTGGTGGTTATATCATGAGTACTTGGTGGTGATAATTATCATGATTACTTGGTGGTGAGTGTAGGGTATAGATCTAATATGAGAGACAGACAGAGACAGATATTTGAACAGTGAGCTTGGCTTTTCTCATTTTTCTCTTTCGCTGCAATAAAAAGAAAATAAAACAAAACATTTCACAATTTTCCGAAATAACTTTGAAACGGGTGCAATAGTGTGTGTTTGTGTGTTTGTGTGTGTGACTGTTGTATATTTGAAAATGAAAAACTTGACCAAAATGTAGGGAATCAGAGAATAATATTAATCTGTGGTTCACAGATACACTCCGTATTCCAGCATATGTCATGAGTTAATGAGGCGCCCGTTTTCAACTTGCACCTCAGGGAGAAATGGGTTTCGGGAAACCCCGATGGATGGGGGTTATGTGTCGGGAACCACGGAGTCCTTGAGAGCCACACAGTTCAACAAGGACCATCAGTAAGAGAGGTTCAAGGTGGCATTTTCTCAGTAGGCAATTTCCCCAAAAGAGACCAATTATGTGTGAAAGAGGCTGATTTGACTGATTTCTATAGGTCCCTTTTTTGGTCCGAAGAACATCCTGCGCGCTGCAAGAGAATCAGAGCTAACGAGCCTATATTTTTGC